GCTTTAATATTAGTCATTACACACGACCAATTATCTGTGGAGGGAATCATTTATGACTTTTATGCTTTTTTTTTTTCATTTTAAGTTTATTCAGCTTAGAAGGGTTACAGTTGAGTTAGGTTAAATGAGCTTTTTTTAGTTGAAATCATTAAATTTAGGATGTTCAATTGAATTATCTAGGTGCTAACAACGGTTAGAGAATAACTGAGGGAGACCATTTTGCATTTTTATTATGTTTTTTTTATTATAGAACTATTTTATCTATTTATTTTATAATATAACTGATAATAAAGTGTGTATAAATTACATTTCGTTTGCTTCTCTTCTCTTGAAACAACAAAACCACAAATATGACAGGCATTATTTCAACTTGCTTTATTTTTTAACAAAGCTACCTTACTGCACACACACACAGAAGATGATTCCTCTGATTGGTTCAACCACAGAATTAGAATCGCTGCTGTTCATTTCCTTCCCTCTTTGTGCTTCATGATGAACCTGCTGCTGTTCGTCGAAGCTGCAAACAAAAGACACGAGAGAGACGCACCTGCTCAGCTTCATTCATCTCCTTCGCACCGCTGATGCCTCCTCTGGTTGCATCCTTCAGAGAAGCCTTTCACCTCCTGACCTTCCCTCTCCTGCTCCTGTCATGCTGGAGTCCGGCCAGCAGAGGGCGCTGCCGCTCATTATCACCCACGACGAGCCGCCTGCTTTGAATCTCATGTAAATCTCTCTTTACCCAATTGAGTTTTTGATTTGTTTCGATGTTATCTCCCCCCGGCAGAGCAGACAAAAAAAAAAAAAAAGATGCAAATTGCTTTCGCATACCTTCTGTGCACATAGCTCCTCAGCTCGATAAGGTGTCTTAAAGCAAGTCGCGGCAAACGATAGTCAAAATATCTCCGTCTTATCTCTGCCTTTGAAAGACATTCGAAAAATGTTATTCCACCCCGTGACACCGCTTTGAAAGACATCTGGGGACTGTTAATCCACTGAGAAAACACTGAAATTCATTAAACATCAAAGCAAAGTCCTTTTTTTTTTCTTTCTGGAAGAAGTTGTGCAGATCTGCATTTAGCCGCCTTTATATGAAATCTGAAGCCCAAATCTTGCCTCCGGCCTGAAACAAATTCATCTGTCTAGTAAACACCCTTCACTCATGCATTGTGGGGCGTCATGTGGGTCACGGTTACTTAGCAAAGAGGACACTGGCCCATTTTCAAGACGGTCTTGTTAAAGTCACATGGGCCGGACGGAGGCCTGAGGACAGCAATGCCTCATCATCAGCCACCAACCACGAGATCACAGGGAAGAGGAGGAACAGGGGGGAATTCAACAAAGAGGATTTCCAAAGCAAGTAAGTGAGTCATGGAATAACACGGATAATCTGCTCATTAGCGTCGCTCTGTCGTTTATAAGGACGCCTGAATGTCAGGAAGTTTGACTTGCGCAGACCCAAATTCAGACGTCTTAATGATTAAATGGAAACTGCCAACGAGGGTATAAACGGAGACGTCGTTACGTCGAGGACTGCATCAACAAGTGTTTGTGTTTTTTTCCTTCTCCAGCCCGCCCATCCCGCTGTCTCGTCCCGTCTTTCTCTCTGCATTGGATGTTCAGCTCAGTGACTCTTTTGTTTTGCTGCATGCCTGAGTGGAGACGGTACCCACTCGCACCTACTTTATACCAAGACAGAGAGCGTTTGCTTCTCCAAACACCGAGGACCGATAGAAAAAATGATTTGTCACTAACTGGTAAGTCCTAGTGTCAGCAGCACCCTGCAGTGAAGGCAGGGGATTGTAGAGTGGGTTATGATGTCCTGATATCTAACAGATCTGTTGCTAAGATGACCTCTGCCACTTCTCCAGCAGCTAATTCCTCGCGGTTCGTTTCTGGCATGCCTGGTGGTAAGAAGTCCGGTTGAGCCAGGGGGGGATTCTCATTAATACCTCCACTCTAAAGGGGCTGAAACTTGAGAGCTGTGTGTGGTTACCTGAGCTCCGGAGGGATGAGCCTCCGCAGGCCAGCTGCCCACCTGAGGAGAGCTCCAGGCTGGAGGAGATCAGGAGATGAGTCCTACTGGGAGAGCCTATTATCAGAGGGGGAGCTCCTACCCGGCGCTCCTCACCCTCGCCGTCCGCCTCGGCCCCAGAGCGCCATCGAAGGAGGCCGACTGGACAGCTGGCTGGAGCAGCTGCAGACGATGCAGAGCAAACTCAGAGCCCCGGCTCACAATCACGTCCCGGCTTTCACCGATCGGACAGCATCCATGCCGGTTCTTGACAGAGAGCCAAGCGGGCGCTCCTGGAGGCAGAAGGGCTTTCCCTCCTTCAGCAGGGCTTCCTCTTCATGTGGGAGCTCCAGCCTGTGCGAGAGTTCGCTGGGCAGCCAGGAGTCCCTCCAAACCGGGTTTTTATCCCCTCCGGAGCGCAGAGGAAGCTGGGAGAGGGCTCACATCTCACAGGCACCGAGGAAGGAACAAGCTGAACTCAGCTGTCTTGCTCCAGTCAAAATCGGTTGGCTTCCAATCCAGAGGAGAGTGGTGACGGTGGCCGATGGCTGCAACCAAAACCAGCTGGTGGACCACTCTCCTGGTCACGTAAGACACACAACACGTGGTGCTAACAACGCCTTTAGCACAGATTTATAAAGTTTTGCAGGTTGTATTTTCTGGGATTCTTCATTTAGATCAGATAGACCTTTGCAAACATCCTACATTTCCTTATAAAACCGGTTAATTTGGGCTGTTTCAGGCCTTTGTACTCTTTTGTGAGTTTATTATTTTGAACCTCGCACCAAAACCTCGCAGAACACCTTTTGTGCCTGTTCTAGTGTTACCGACTTTGAGCCGGTTTCGCTTGGATTTTTTTTCGCTGACATCCTACCCGGGTTGTGTGATCGCGACTCTTACATGCTAGCGAGGCGGCGTAAGCTCTGCAAGTCTGAAGTTAAGTGTTGTGTAATGGAGGTGACTGCGCTTTGTGCCAGGCGAGGCAGAATAAAACACACAGAGTGCCACAGAGAGCCATTTGTAGTCAAGTCTCAGTTACCCAGGGAGAAGGCAGAGCTCCGGCGTCCTTTGAAAACAGCTTACTCTGCAGGAACCCGGCGCCTTCTCGCAAGGTTTACGACTCATTTGGAGCCGTGGCAGCAGAGACGGAGCCGTGTGCCCTGAGAGGATGCAAGTCAATGTACAAAGATAATACAGTGGGCGTATTACCCTGTGAACTGATAATATGGCTTTGAATCGATACGTTGCTGAGCTGCAGCAGAGATCTCGCTGCACAAAGCACATCCCTCGGTGTTTGACTCCTCACTGGGAAAAAAAAATAAACGTTTATAAAGTTAGTGCTGAAATGGTTTATTTTAGGATCTTGTTGGTTAGCTTAGATTGGAAACCGGTGGCCAAGCGTCATCTTTAGCCGACCATACAGTCATGAGATTGATAACCATCTTATCAAATACCTCGTAGCTAGCTTGTTCAGTTCATCTGTTAAATGCATTTGAACGCTTTCTGCAGGTGAAACTGAAACAACCCATCACTCCAACTTTCCAGAAGAACCAAGCGACGGCAAAGACGCCAGGTACGATTTGCTATTTCTTGCATAACGGCTGAGAAAACCCTCCTAATTCCAAAAAAAGCACAGTTATGCAAGTGCGACCATTATGCAAGCCTAAAAAAAAAAAACAACCAAAAAGACGCACATGAAAACCAAGATTTACAAAGAGAAGCAACAAACGAGTCGGTGAAACAAACAAAGGCTCCGTTTCAATTGATGTTCAGCGCTTGATCAGCGCTATAACAAATATGGCCACGGGGTAACCGCAGGGGCCGAGTTAGCTAAAAGGAGAACAGGAGCTTATTTCAGGGCTGACACGGTTTACCTGCTTCTAATCAGCTCCTTGCAGCAGTGTTTTAAAACGCCCCACACTGACTGACTGACTGACTGACTGGCTGTCTGGATGATCACCTTAAACAACAGCCTCCTTAAAACAAAAGTCAATTTCAAGTACAGCTGGTCCCGGCTGGCAGAAAGGGAAATGGGTGCCATTAGGCCTGAGAAGCAGAAGAGAGAGGCAGAGTGGGGGTGGAAGCGAGAGGCGGAAAGATAAGCAGAGATGCAGGCCGATTGGAGAAGGAGGCCTGTTAATCTTTGAACACGGCAGCCCGGCGCTCTCCGGGTTTGATCCGAGGTTTGATCTTTCAACCTCGTCCTTGTTTATACATAGATTATCCCGGCGAGGCTCGGGCTGCTTACACAAATCAAAGCGATCCGTCCGTGGCAGCGAGGAACTTTGATGGACAGTGTGGCTGTGTTCAGATGCGTTCACCTCCGTAGCATCGCTGCTAGTTAGAAGCTACAGACTGAAAACATGTCCAACTACGACTAATTACTATTTGCAATCTTCACATGGTGTATAAATAGGACTATCAAATCATGTGTCCTATGCTGTTTAATTACTTACTGATACACCTCTTCTTAGCCAATCAGAACAGCCATAAATATCCACATTTCACGATGAATAATTACGCTGCAGGTGCCGCCTCCCCCCAAAAAATTGGCTTAAAACGCCAGCAGCGATTTGAAGAAAGACGATTAACAAGAAACCTCCATGCAAGTCTGCCTCCAAATTTGTTTTGATGCTTTTCCGCTCAGCCGTCAGTACATTTCAATCCGAAACCGAATGAAGTTCCAATTATTCCGATTTAAAAAAAAAGAAACTGACTTCTTTCTCATTACTTTCTCTCTTTCTGGTTGTTGCCCTTGCAGACGTAGTTTTAATCAGACTCGAGGTCTCGCTGCAGACAGTTAGTGCCCTCTGCCTCCATAAAAGTCACATCTAACAAACTTGAAATGGCCCGATGTTAATGAGCAAATGATAATAAAACTGGATCTTCAAGGGGGTCACCGTGTTTTGGATAATTTGCCCACACTTCATATTTAGATAAGACTCAGGAGGATGGGGAATAAATTGGGAGGGTGTGGACTTCAGAGGGTATCTGCCATATGGCCTTGATTCTCTATTTTCCTCTGGGATCTAAAAGTCAGCTGTTGTTTCAGAAAAAAAAAAAAACTGAGCCCAGCTAGTAATGAGAGAAGCACTTTCTTGAGGGGGTGAGGGGGATACGTTGGTGTGTGACCTTTATGGAGGAAGAAATAACACATGTGGAGGGAGAGGAGGAGGAAGAACAAAGTGTCAGAAAGGCCCGAACCCTTTATGACACCCCGGAGACGCTTCGTTTTGTTGTTTTCAGCTCTAATCACATTTGCAAAGTGGTGCAATTTTCACCTTGTCTCTGGGTTTTCTCCCTTAAATCAAAAAAAAACCACCACAGGATAATCCACACACACACAGCATTCAAGGGTTATCCTAAAGTGAGAGCACGTCGCCATGGTAACAGCAGCAGGTGGAAACGCAGCCAGGCAAAAAAAAAAAAAGAGTATCAGTCAGGGCTGAGAGGCAGACCAGTCAAGTTGCTGCGTCTCCGGAGGAAGCGGAGGAGAGGGCCGGGGTGGTGCTGCACTCACTTTACTGTGCCAATGTCAATTACTGACAGTGTCAACATCGGCGTACAGTCGGAGGGATGGCTGACTCGTGTGTTTGCATGTGTCAAGAGAGAGTGAGTGTGTGTGTGTGTGAGTGTGTGTTCTGTCAGGGAACGTGACACATGATCATTTGTTTTGCCCCGACACATAGACGGAGACGTGGAGAGGAGTCACACCAGTGCCGCTGTTTTGGGTGTGAAGACGTGGCAGGCACCTGATCCAGGCTCTCCCTTTAGTAAACAGGTAACCGATAGCGATCTTTTAACATTAAGCGCCGGATAAACCAGGAGGCGGCTTTGCAGAAATATTACGATGGTTATCAGTGTTGGGAAGTGTCTCCCTGTATGGATAATGAGGTGAAAATGGGTCTTATAATCCTCGTGTTGTGCTTTATGTTACGCCGCTGGCTCATAACCGGGAAAGATTTAGTGTTTCAGCGTCGGTTTGGTTCAACGCTGGACAAATCAAAGGCCTCACGTAACAGCACCGGGTGTAAAAAAGGTCTAAAGTTGCTCCTGAATGTATTTATTTAGGTTGTATCATGCTGGCTTCTTAGACTCCCACACAATGTGACCCTCATTTCTGTGAAGTGAACGTTTGATCCACTAAATAAATATTATTTATGTTACGAGCGACTCCTTCTAAAGGGAAAACATCAGATGTAAAAGGTGCAGATTTTGGAAAACAACATTAGAAAATATATATATATACTCTGTGGAAGCTGAGAGCGAATCAACAACAGCAAGAAAATACATGAGAGGGCTTTTGCAGGTCGTTATAAATGTCTGTTTGCTCTTTGAAACAGGTTCTCTATACACTGCAAACAGCCTAAAGCGGTGCAAAATGAGCCATTTGGAAGCAACTGGTAAACTAAAATGCCTGCAAGCATAATCCCTATTATCTAATTATCATCATTTTAAGACACTTGGTCTATAGATACATGCTAATTTGATCATAAATAAATATGAAGGTGTCCCGTTTCTGTACATTTTTGTGTTAAATGGTTTGTTTTGGACATCTTTCAACGTCACGGTGATCAAAAAGCGTCGGCAGAGTTGTCTCGAAACCTGAACATATTCCCAAGAGGACACTGAAATGACTGAATCTTGTACTTTTGCTTATTAGTGTGGTTTACACAGGCATCAGGGAGGTATGTCACACCATAAACCTGCTGGTGCTTCGTACAGGGACGTATCAGCGTTTCTCCACGCTCCATAAACACCATCAGAGCCCGCGGACCAGAATCGTTGCTTCTTGCCTCTCGGTTTCTATTGAGGATAGAGTCTCATTGTTATTCTGCGAGGGATAAGTCACGCTGTGTGCTGGCTTTGCCTGCTGCTGCTTCCATTGCTACTGGGGCATTCACTGTGTCAAGCATGGGGAGAGTCATCTGACTAAAGAACAAACAGCAGAGCCCTGAAGAAAGACAAGACAGCTGACCTGCTGTTGAAATGCAGCGTTAGAGCGATGTCATATTGTCAATATCTCATGCCACACTGAATTAGGTTATGCTCCACATTCTGGATCTGCCGCTTGCAAATAGCGGCTCACATTTGCAAGATGAATACGCGGCATCTGTTTTACTGTGTTGATCGATGACAAAACATTTATCATAAGACATTAGCGACAGCAGCAGGGTGGGATGGGGTTTCCATGCATAATTAAGGATCTCTTTTATCCCTGTAGGTTCCAGAAAAACGTAGCTTTCCCGCTAATGAAGGGGACAGACCTGTGGGCTGGCAAGCTCTGCGGAGAGGCTGGACTATCAACAGGGTGTCAGCTTTCCCCGGAGGCAGCAAGTCCAACGAGCTCCCCACAGGGACCGACTCAGACCCCAACGGGAAGTCCCGTCTGATGAAAACAAGCAGCGTAGAGCCCCCGAAGCACTCTCCTCCGCATCACACAACTTGTGCTGATCCCTGCAGACCACACACTCCGCCACGAGGCACAAACACCGCCGAGACATACAAGTCACACGCTCCTCTGCAAAGGACGAGCAGTGTTCAGCCCATAAAGGCAACGACCCCGCTGTGTGGAGCAAACACCAGCGCCCACATACAGACGAGCTCCGCTGTGACCACTCTCATCCCTCAGAACAAAGCCGGCTTCTCCTCCATCACCATCTCCTCCAGAAAAGTGAGCAGATCGGCCAGCCTGCCCGGCTCCAGCAACCGTGGTCTACCTGGCTCCGGCATGGATCCAAACTCCAGGCAGGTGACAGTGCAAAGGAAGGCCACTATAGTCAAAGTTACAGAGAAAAGGGTGATGTCCAGCTCTGTTCCAAGCACAGACACGACAGGAACGCCACCAGCTAGCCACGGTGTGGACACAGTGGTCCGCAGAAGAAAGGCCACCATTATCAAAGTGACGGAGCACAGGGAGAGCTACAGTCCAGCTAAAGGAGGGTCCAGACACCCCGAGTACAGACACAGCTACACCGAGGGACTGTATAAGGACAACGGCTCATGGAGTCAGGGAAACCATGCACAAAGCAGCACAGCACCTTCACACAACCATCTGAATTCCAGACCAAACTCAGCTGTGGCACCAAACACGTTCAGTTCAGATCCAGGGAAAAATGGTGCAGTGCACAGATCCACGCTGAGTCTCTTTGTGAGCGGCCCCCCCGCCATAGCGGCGCCCGTTTCCTCAGAGGCTTCTCCAAAGGCTGTTGGACGGAGATCGGACAGGCCGCACAGACCACTGAGCTGCTATGGCAATGTGATTGGACACACTGAGCCAAGCAAGGAGAATGTGACACAACCGGCTGCCAGGAAATGGAGCTTTGGGCTTCCACAAGAGACCAATATCAACCCTGTGAACTCCGACAGTAGTTTCATCAGCCCTGGAAAAGCGCTGAAAGAAGCAGGTCAGCCAGTGGCAGACGCCCTTAAATCAAACGGCGGCGAAGAGGAAGGATTGCCACCACCGGAGGATGCGACGAGGAGAGCGTCCCCCAGTCTAACTCTCATCAAGGCCCCGGGTAGGTTTCTGTGTCCCACTTTGACAGTCTTCTTGTCAGCACAAAGACTCCCTCTGTCTCTGATCTCCATTTTCAAAGGATGACAGTGTCTAAATATACACTTCCTTTGTGCCGTTTGTGTGTTCTCGCTCGGAGTTGTTACACACCCTCTCAGGTTTGATGCGATCTTTCACCTTTGATGTCTTATTGATAGGCATTATTAGATAGTATTGGGATTATTCCTTTATCTGCCGCCGCCAGTGCAATTGACACCCGTGGCAGATATCTGTGTCGATGTCAAATAACATCGCCGAGACGCAAAGGCCCCATCAGCACCTAGACATGCTTTCTCATTTTCACCTTCTTTCATTTTCCCACGCATCTCTTTGCATGCATAATATATTTCAGCCCCCCTTTTTTTTTTGCACTCGCGGCACTGGGAAGGAAGAGCAATCACAAGCTGCTAAACATGGAGAAAAATAAAGTACGAGGATGTGCTGGGAACGAGTTTGGCGTTCAGATCCCGCGTGCATGCAGTGATCAGATTGTGCGGCCGAAAATCTGTTGGCAGGCCGACGTCGTGGAGACTTATTGGCCGTTTGGGGGTCAAATCCAAAATCCACAAAGTTGTCTGTTTACTTTGAGTTTTTAGTTGGGATTTTTATAAATAGTTATGCGCAGGATCTTTCCCTGGTGCAGTGAAATGCTGGAGTTTATTGACTACAAGAAAATAAACCACATTATTAATGAGCTGTAGAGGTGCTGGGAGGTGGATTTCTGGACAGAGCAGGTTGGCTTTTGCCCCCTGCTTCGACTCTACAAGCTCCTGTTCATTTGTAACTTCTCTACATGCCTGCATTTACTGATTAAATTCCTTGTACGTGATTCTGATTCTGATTCACTCACATGCATTTCCCAAAATGCTAAACATTAGGTTAAAATAAGCTTCTGCAGGGTCCAAGTCACGACAAGTCTTCATAAATAAGCTACGCATCAGTAAACGCTTAGTTTAGTTTGTTAAAGAACTGAAGCATTTCCAGAAGGACTTTAAATATTCAGTCCCGGCTTATTTATCTTTTATCGCTTTTAATGTTTTTGGAGCGTTAAAAATTGACACCTGCGTGTTTTTACGTTGTGATTTCAGCTCCAGTTTCGAGCCTGCAGCTTTGAACTCATGCAAACAAGCGACGTGTTCTCACGTATAAAGCAAACAGCCTTCGATTATTTAAACCAGTCGGCCGAAGCTGGTGAAATTCTGAACGTTCAGGTGAATAAGTGACGCGCGGAGGGAGTTTTCTGCTGAGCAAGTGCGTTCCTTCGCTCACCGTGTCTTTTCTCTGCGTGAAATTATTAATTATTCTTTAATCACATTCATTAAGAGTGTCGTCAATTAATTACAAGGCCCGGGGCAACGTAATTTAAATTCGATGTTTGATACCGTCAACCACCAAATGAGGCAGGATATTAAACTGTGTTAAAGAAAAAAATAATCATCTGCCTGTGGTGCAACCAAGTGGTAGCTTTAAAAAAAAACAAGACAACAACAACAACAACAAAAAGCAAACGGCCAGTGTCACAGACTGCTCAGCTACATCAAAGCCTTTCCTTGAATTTCAGATCCCAGCTCCCATCAGTCTCCGGAGGAAGTGCTTGCCCTGAATGCAGCTGCAATCATTGCAAATATCAAACTCCAAAGACAACTTAGTAAGAAGAAAACAAGAAACTCGGAGAAGGACGGCGCTGCATCTCCTCAGGGAGACGCTGGTATTTCTCTCCTCTCCCTCTCACATGTGCTCCTAATGTCCCACTTTGTGAAGCATTGATCTTTATTACAATTAGCTAAAAAAAAAAAAAGAAAAGTTGCTGGTTCAACACTTTCTGTTTTAGATCTCTGATTGAATCGATACAGTGAAAGCTAAAGTAATATGTCGCTGCAGGCCTGGAGGGCTGTTGAGCGGCTCTGCATTGCGCTCAGGCATGTGAAGCCGAGCCAGGTGTAAACACAAATTGTTTGATTTTCTCTGCCTTGATAGTGACGGATGAGGGGAAATGTATGCACGCATCCGATCAAAGCCAAGTCCACGAGCGGCCTCATGCTGCATTTGTTCCGCTGAGTCCGGACAGAAGAAGGTCAGCTGGCACTGTTTCTCTTCAGGTGAGTTCAAAGGTAATTTTCTGAGATAATAATACGGTGAAACAAAAGATAAGAATGGTAGAAAAAACCAGTGTCTGTATGTAAACCCCTGCTGCTGGTGTGTGTTTGTGTTATAAACAGTACAACTAGCCAAGAGTTTGATTTTAGAGGCCCAGAGAGGTGAAACTAATTCACACTAAAAATCAGCCACCTAGACATCAGCCAGAGGGAATGACACATTTAAACTGGCTTTAGGAGTTTTTTCTGCCCCGGGGCGGTGCGTTCAGGGGGGGGCGCCAGGAGTTCAGGCTTAAATGTTTTGTCAAGAAGAGCAATGTGTTTCTTGGTTTTTTGGCAGCAAGCACTGCTGAGGTCCAGACCGGACTTCATCAGTCGCTCCCAGGGAAGAGTGCGAGAGCTGGAGCGAAGGGCGCAGGAGAGGAGGGAGCTGTCAGGGCCGGCGGACCAGCAGGGGAGGGCCCACGGCAGCACCTGGTCCACCTCTCTGAACGGTACCGTGCCAGCAGCCGGGCCTCGTACTGTCCATTGTCCCCGTGCAGCTGCGGTGGCCGTTTGCCACGCGGCTAATCACATACATACAGATTTAGAACAAAGAGCGAGGAGGGTGGTTGTCAGCCGGCCTCGTTGTTGTTGTTCAGGGCTCATAAAAATAGTTTCTGAATTCATGCTGCTGATTAGTGACAGAGTATTTCCCTTTCATTTTTTTTTTGCTACAAAGGGCTCCAAACCCACTAAAATCCTTTGCTTAAACCCAAAATACTGGCTTAGCAGTGGTTTGGGGCAGCTAGAACTCCTCCAGAACAGTTCATTAAGACTCTAGAATATTAAGTTTAGGTATCACTTTAGGGCTGCAGTTGGTAGCACTGTTGCCTCGCAGCAAGAAGGTCGCCGGTTCGCGTCCTGGTGGGGGCACCGGAATCTTTCTACGTGGAGTCTCCATGTTCTCCCCGTGCAGCGTGGGTTCTCTCCAGGTTCTCCGGCTTCCTCCCACACAGTCCAGAAACATGTTGAGGTCAATTGGTGATTCTAAATTGTCCGTAGGTGTGAATGTGAGTGTGCTTGGTTGTCTGTCTCTAAGTGTAGCTCTGTGATAGACTGGTTACCTGTCCAGGTGAACCTGCCTTCACCCTGAGTCAGGGATAGACTCCAGCCCCCCATGACCCTAGTGAGGATTAAGCGGTGTACAGATGATGGATGGATGGTATCACTTTATAGAAGTTGCATAAAATATCCAAACAAGAGAGAAAATGCCGGATGGATTACATAACAGGCCAATAATGACATTCTCACCCCGTCATCCAAAGTATTTTTAGGCAGTGACAAATAAAAAGAGAGCGAGGGAGGGAAGTGCCTGGCTCTGCTAAGCTGTGGCTAAACACAGTAAAGGGCACCTGAAGTGAAACAGCTTTATTATGCACGTCTCTATATATACATGCAGGCGCCTCTCTGTTCAATCACAAGGTTTCCTGAGTGATTGCTGGCACTGGATTTAAATGGAAGCATCTCCGTGACCTTCAAACGTCGTCGTGTTCTCGGTCTGATCAGGTTAGAGTGCCGGTAAACAGTAAAGATTTTACAGATGTGCGACAGAGATTCTGCAGCTCTCTCTGCCCTCTACTGGACGGAAACCTGCATAACAGCTGGGACGGTGTTCATGTTGCTGTCAGATTGTTTTATCTGTATAACAGAGCTCATAATGTATGTTGGTGATGTAACACAGACGGTGGACTTATTGAAATACTCTCTGTGCTCTGTCTAATATTTTTTTCTCTAAAAGTGGAGGCTTTTAGTTTCTTTTAACTCCAGGAAAAGCTGCTGTGATTGACTTCAGTGCTTTATTGCGTTCAGCTGGATCAGCATTGTGTGAGTGTGTACATGCTTTTGTCTCCAGGTAACCTTTTCAGACCCAGAGACAGAGCCATTACGGGGAAAGAGATGCAGCCCAGACCCAAGCGGTGAGTTTCGTCTGAATCTCGACCTCGTCACGCTGTCAGAAGCTTTTTTTGTTTCCCTTCGTCGGCAGATTTATCTCTCGTGTCACTTTTGCATTTGAAGGAAAAACCTGAATCAGTGAGAGCAAAATCTGCTGCTCTTGTTTATCTGTCAAGGCTTTTTTTTTTTGCTCTAATTATGCCTCCCTGGAAGATCTCCGTATTTATTAGGATTTATACAGGATGTTATTATAAATGCAGAAAGGTGATGAATTAAGCGATTGACCCCTACAGCGAGGGCATCTGGTGACTCCACCTGTCCCCTTAGAGGGACAAATCCCTGCAAATCAATACCGTTTTTTTCTGATCATCTTTGTCCCAGAATGAAACACTTCTACCCTGATGGGAGCAGATAAAAATGTCCCCATTTATAGAGCCGGAGGGGGTCAGCGAATGGTTTGATTAGCATGAAACCTACATAACTTCGCAGTCACCAGACCTCTAAACAGTTGAGCAACTATGAGATATTTTTGGAGCATCATCTGAACACCTAATGAGGGAATATCTGTGGGAAAAATGGTACTTTTTTATCCCCCAGTAATGCTCCAGAAACTGAACAGAATCAATGCTGCTATGCAATTAAACTCACCCCATCAATACACCTTTTGTCACCTGTATGAATAAACGCAGTGGTGCAGTAGGTAGTGGTGCATGTAAAGTGAATTTCTTGCGCAAAAAATATAGTTTTTTTTAAAATTTTAGACCCACCTTTGATTGCCAATTTTTAAATTATTAAACTTCAGCCATCTTTTTTTTTTTCCAATTTCGCTCCAGCACCGTTGCAGCAATGAAGAGGAAAAAAGAGGAAGAGAAGAAGCGTGAGGCCTGTTTGAGCAACAGGCAGCGAGTGGAGCTCTTCAGAAAGGTAACGTCCTTTTTTATTAAAATAAGAATAAATGAGCTTATTAATTCCCCACACTAACCAGCAGTCAAGCATCATCGAAGCCAACATTATCACATTCCTAATCGCCGCCAGGATGTCAAAGTTTCCAAACATGTGAGGTGGAATGTGAGGAGTTTATGTATAACAAGCTGCTCTTAATGGCATTGGGCACCGGAGAGCTGGGTTTTTAATAATTCAGCACATAATAAATGATTCACTTACCTTAAAGCTATGCAACTGAGGAGAAAAATTGTATATGACGCTGGTTAAAGCGGTAAATACAACAAGATGAGGAGTCGGCGGGGCGGGTCAGTCGTACAGGGATGAAGTCTTCTTTTAATATTTTATTCGATCTCCCTGAAATGATGCGCCGAGTCACCGAACACTCGCAGAATAAAAGCAAACAACCTCAAAGCAGCTTGTCCGGGTGTCGCGAGCATCTGCCCGAGACACCGAACACAACATTAATTGTGTATATGACCCACAGGCAATTGAGCAAGTAATAACACACCTTTCTCCTACAAGCTCAATTAAGCCTCACGAAGGGGGTGAGCCATTTGGCTTTAATGGCCAACACTAAAGGGTTTCTGTACTAATAATGCAGCTTTTTTCCTCTCCTCAGAGTAATGCAGCTGTTGAAAATAATGGATTTAAATGGCCGACAAACTCTATTATGGCTAATTGAAAAGGCCGGCGTCGAGTGGGAGACACGAGGTTGAACTTTAAGGACGTCGGTAGGAAAATGTCAGAAACACAACAACACGGGGGCAGATGGGACGGCGGGCCTATTTGTGGATGTTGGGAGGAACAGGTTGTGGGCTTAATGGCAAATTACGATAAATAAAATACAGCGCGGCCTAATAGTTGTTCTCTGACCTACGGAGACTGATTGGCAGGGCTCTGATGAAGCAGCGTTCAGGTGATTTTGAATCAAGGATCACGTTTTTTTAACTGTTTGCTCGATGTCATAGTGAAATAATACATTACATACTGCAAATTAGGCAGAAGCTTTCTAGATATTTGTTTTTCTTTTATTAAAGTGTTCAAGATAAAGTCCTCCGATGTTAAAATTGTAGGAATTCAGGAATATTTTTAGATCATTTTCAGCTTTTTACATTTTATTTGGTTGCACATTTACTCAAATATTGTACTTAAGTACAAATTTGGTTAAATATTTTCATTTTAACTTCATACTTGTACTCCACATCTCAGAGGCAAATATTCTACTTTTTACTCCACTACATTTGTCTGACAGCGTTTTTCTAATTACTGCAAATCCCTCCATCCAAATGCATTAATAGTTGAGTTGATTGATTAAGAAAATGGTCCTACTTTTTAATAACAAGCTGGAAAATGAGTCAACACAAAGACAAACACAGGACTGTCCTCCCTGAACTCATGAACTGACTTTTTTTTAGCACGACATGGTTCTCACAGGATGGCAGCATGAACTTCTAGAATACGAAGCGTTTGTTTATATCAAACCACCTAATCGGGTATAAAGTAGGTAAAATTAGCTCAACCTTAACCCTGATCAGGACTTTGCCATACGTAGAAGGTTTTTCGGGGTCCACTGGACCCCTAGAAAGAATATGTGCAAAATATTTGTTGGTGGGCTACAAGGTGAAGTGGTGGTTAGCACAGTTGCCAGTTCGCGTCCCGGTGAGGACACCCGGGATCTTTCTGCGTGGAGTCTCCATGTTCTCCCCGTGCAGCGTGGGTTCTCTCTGGGTTCTCCGGCTTCCTCCCACAGTCCAGAAACATGCTGAGGTTAATTGGTGATTGTAAATTGTCCGTAGGTGTGAATGTGAGTGTGCTTGGTTGTCTGTCTCTAAGTGTAGCCCTGTGATAGACTAGTTACCTGTCCAGGTGAACCTGCCTTCACCCTGAGTCAGCTGGGACAGGCTCCAGCCCCCCTGGTGAGGATGAAGGTGTATAGATGATGGATGGATGGATATTTGTTGGTGTTCATTTATACTTTGTTCAACACATTTTCTGATAAGTTGATGTATCTTTGGTTCTAAATGCATGACAAATCTTTTTATATTTAAAAAAAAGTCTTCACAAATTAAAAAGCAAAAAACAAAAAAACCCAATACCTGTCATCTAAACCAAATGGCCTGGGGTCCAAAATAGGGTTAAACATCTACAGCACTCACATTGATGCAGCTGCAATATTAATCCAAAACCATCATATATAACAGAAAAACACTGACAGGAAACAATTAACTGCACAATGAATGCTTTTCACTTTTGAAGTACATTTTTCCAACAATGCCAAAATACTTTTACTTGTTTGATAGTGTCGTATTAGTACTTCTCTTTAATTTAATAAAATCCTCCTCCACCACTGCCTTCATGTAGCTCTGGACTGAACCATCGTGAACGTGGTAAAGATGCAGAAATGCAAAAAGATGCATGTTAAAAGTAAATGTCACTTCTACTTGTTTCTTCAAGCATCACACCATAATACACTGACTATTGAAGCTGTCAGAACCATGACGCTCCACTAGAGGTCGCTGCTGCCAAACTTTTCCATTTCCTTACTTCCGCCAAGAGTTAGATGAGAAAAACTGACACATTGTAGTTTCAAAGTGAGTGACAGCATTTGCACCTTTTTTTATAACGCTCAATATTTATCATCCACTAAAAATAAAAAATAAAAAACAGATTTGCTGGGAGGAATCCCTCCATGTCACCCCTCACCCCTTTTCTCTGGTTATGAACAGAAACAGTCTCATTGTGCTGGGTGTATGAGGGCCTGTGTTCCTGAAAACAAAAGGCCTCCTCAGTGGCAGGGAAAGCTGCAGCAGACAGCGTGGAAACCCACCAACGGCTGCTCCCCGCCCACGCTGCTGCTGCTGCTGCTGCTGAGGCCGATAACACGGGGGTCTGGCTGAGGGGGTGACAGGGTGACAGGTAGCAGGCATCACTCCTGCCTCTGCACAGGGCTCAGGATGAACGAGCAGGCCTTTGACTGTTTCTGTCCTCGTTGCAGAAACTGTTGGATCAAGTCCTTCAACGGAGCAACAGCTAAATGACGAAGACGACCGCATATCAAAGAAGAGTCACACAACGGACTGATGAAGTGGATCAGAATCAGAACATCAGCTCCTGACAGAACTCTGCTGTCCAGTCTGGTTTCTCCCACGTTACATTCAACGTACAGAGCCTCACATCTGTTTTTCTGGGGGTTAAATCTGTGGAGATCTTTTCAAAACCCAGAAGGTCGGTTAGCATGCCGCCAGTTTGAGGGGTTTTCCAGAACTTTCAAGACTTTTTTAAATATATATATCCTCATTCACACTGTTTCTCTTCCTAATGCAACAAAACAAAATGCTAAGCAAAAACTTCATAGATTAATGTGACGACTCTACTTCTGAATTCTTTTAATTTCTTGCAACAATCCAATAAGAGGATAAGGACGGGTGGCAAACTAAAGAAAGAAAAGCCAGCATAATGTGCCTCAGTGAGGGGTTGGCCCACCCTGAGCTGCCAGAACAGCTTCAGTGTGCCTCGGTATCGATCTTACAAGTCTGTGAAACTCTACTGGAGGGATGGAGCACCATTTGTATTGATTTTCAGTGACTTTTCCCTCCAAGGGGACAAGCAGACCCACACCATGCCAACAAAATACCCTCCACAGCTTGACAGAGCCACCAGTTGGCCCGGCGGGTCGAGTCACCAGTCCGTCTTTGTTTTGCTGCAAAAAAACGAAACAAAAAAAAAGATCAATGAGTCAAAAGAGTGAATATATTAGATGCACTGAGGAAGTAGAGTCCTTCTAGGATCTGGAAATATCTTCAAAAGCAGCAGTAAGCGCTGTTGAATGACCTTCTGAGGGTTTTTTTTTTTTTTTAAAGACTGTCTTAGATTTGTCTTCTGAGAAAAACAGATGTTTCTGTCACCGGCCGTCTCAGCCACCCTTGCGGTGTGCAATTACAAGCTAAGGATGCCAAAAAGATTGTATGAAATGACATCTGAACGTAGCGCCGCGGCTCGAATCGTACATCACGCTGACTGATATCCTTTTGATGCAACATCTAAAACCAGTAATGTATGCAGTTTATCAACGTTATCTTGTTTTCACTTGATTGCAGGTCGCCTTTCTTTCCAAAATAGTTGCGCGTAATGGGATGCAGAGGAGCCTCTCGCTGCATGATGGAGTGCTCGCACAACCACTTTCACATGATCTCATGTGATGCGAAGCAGCGCTATAGGACAGAATCATTCATTATTCTTCACAGTCCCGTCCAGGACGGTCCTCCAGCGTCATCCTCATTATGCATCCAATAAGCAGAAAGAATCCTGAAGTGGGCCCTGCCATCGTTCAGTGCCAGCTATTAGCTGTAAGATGGAGGAATGTGACCTCTCCTCACTGGAAGCTCACTGTTAACGGACAGTGCTGCTGAATGGAGCCTTTGTCTCTGCCTTTGTTTCCTGATGGACCGGGCCTTGCCGTTGCAGATTTGAATTTGAGTGTTTTGATCCAAAGTGAATTTGCTGGGAGGGAGGGAGGGAGGGGTGCTGCTCGATGGTATAAGGGAGCTGGGCGAATCAAAAGACTTATTTTTGGAGTAACAGACAACAGAGCCGAAGCTCTTTTCATTACTCCTAATTGTTATTTTACTCATTAGCCTTTAAGTCGGAGTTCTCTCACAGTCCAGCTGTTTCATCCGTCTTCATTTTCTCCGATGTCGTGCGGAAAACAGATGGTCGCGACTATTTTTGCGATCCTCGTTTCATGGCAGTGCAATTACATGTGTGGGTGTGTTTGGACAGTAGGGGTGTATTAATAACAGCATCCGTGGTTCATTATAATAATTTGAAAGTAGAATAGGACACTTCTAAAGCGTGGATGCTGTTGGAGGAATGTCATTTACTGTGTGTGTGGGTTTCTCTATTTAAAGATGATTGTATTGGTGTAGCTGCTCCTTGCAGTGGGCTGTAACACCAAACATACTTTATACATATTTAATATTTGAATATAAATACATTGATTTTATATCTGAATCGTGTTTTTCTCCTTTTTTGAAACTTCTCTTCAAATGTGAAATTCTTGTCCAAGCTCTGCTGAAAACTTTCCACCAAAGTGGATCCACCTGAGGTAAGATGCAGCGACGTCGGTAAACTTTGGATTCACTATCTGCTCAAGCTCTCATATTTTAACTCGGGTGTCGTGGCATCTTCCAGTATCTTAAGTCTGCACCAGGCTGGGAGCAAACTGAAATGCTATATGTTAATTTCCCCCTGATTGGAGATAAAAAAAGCTTTCTCAGCCTGCAGGAGGACACCAGTCTGTTTTCTACTGGCCTTCCGTCCTGAAGGCCACGTGGTGCGCACAGTGGAGGGCATAAATGAGCAGGTTAACAGGGTCTACATGGCTGGTTTTCATTGTGCATCTCTCTGGACTTTCCTCCTGTGATGTGTCATGAACATGTCTGATATTTTAAAGTGTCACAAGCAAAGCCACGTTCTGTGTTCAGACAACAGAGTGCGTCTCCACACACTGCTGCCTCCAGCTTTACTCAGACCGAATACCAGCACCTACCCATCATAACATCTGCGAGTGGAGGACATTATTCAAATGTGAGTGTGGGCTGGGCTGCTACACTGGCTCCATGTATGCCATCTAAGCAGGCAGGGTGAAGTTAACCAGCTCACACCAAGGATCAGAACCGAAATGAAGGGGTTCCCCTTCAAAATAAAACACCAGGTCTGCGCATTTTACGGTTCTGCAAGAATAAAGGCATTTTTTAAAAGTGAATTTCTGTTGGGTTTTTGGACATTTGTGCAAAAGCTTTGCTGTAATCTGTCGCTTTTTCGGGATGTTGTGTTCAAAATATTAGATACCTCATGAACTGGAACACCTTCCATTTTCAAACAGCTTTTATATTTGAGACAATAAAAGCAGATTTTGGATTTTTTTTTTCTTATTAAGTGACTTATGGAGGTCCTCATATCTTTTTGTGAGCTTTCAGTTACATCACAGCGAAACTGATGAAAAAAGAGACGAGTGAAAATTATTTCAAAGGTGAACTTTCAGGATTCATTTACTTATTTTTTGGGGGGGGAGAAAAAATCTGACTAGTCATTGTATGTAAGAGAGGACAAATGCTACTAAAAGCTGTGATCTGATGTTAAGGCTTTGAGAGATACATTTTATTTTGAAAGCTACCACCGGATCTGCGTCCTCTTCGTGTCCACCTTGACGCAGCTCCGTCTCCAGGCTGACTGGGAGCGTCGGCAGCGGCTCTAGGACCCCGCGGAGCGTCTCGTTGAAGCACATGGTCTGTACTCATAAGACAACACTTCTCGCCAGTAATTGCTGCTGGAATTGATGTCATTCCAGTGGGCGACCGACACAGCAGCGGCTTGTGTTGTCTGTCAATCTTCTCCTCCTTTATTCCTCCCTCAATTCTCACTTTTTTTTTTCCTCCTTGTTGTTGTTGTTGCGCGTAGCAGCCTTGGACTTCTTTGAATGGGGAGAAAGTGCGCGGAGTTGGATCAGCTGTCATCGGGATTTCCCTCAAGCTCGGCTCGTATTTTGCCGCTTGATCATATTTCAGGAAGTCTTTTTTTTTTTTTTTTTTCCCTTTTTTATTTTGGGGAGGCTCTTGCGCATCAGCTGTTGTCGGACTGTGATTGTATGATGGTTGCGCCGCAGTGAAACAGTTGGCCGGAACCAGTCCACGCTTCCAGCACCATGAACCCCGAGAGCCGGTGTCTGAAGTTTGTTATTTTGGCAGCACTTCAGGCTCTGACCGTCTCTTTGTCGGTGGGTGACAGGGTGCTCTCCAGATCCGTGGAAGGTAAGCGGTGGAGATGGATGATGATCCGTGCGTAAAAGTCGTACCCAGATTGTTTTATTGGTTGTTTTGGTGGCACATTTAGAGAAATGACACCCGAATGAAGAAGCTGTCTGTTTAGTATTCAGCGTGTGTCACTGTGCATATTGTCTGCTGTGTGTCCTCCATGCTTTGGCTGATGGATCATGTTTTATGGAAGCCTTTGTTAGCACCACACTTACGGACCTGCAACACATGTTCGAGCAGAATGAGACATCTCCTCGACACAAACTTTCTAGATTCACGCCTCGCTCTCATCCTCTCCAAAAAGGTCTTTGTGAGAATAGCAGACAGAACACGGAATTTCAGCTCTCAGTCCACCAAGAGTGCACCTCAGAACGAGAGGAGACGCTGTATAATTGATGATGCTGAAACTCTCTTTGGTAATCAGTAGCACTTGAGGCGTTTTTCTTTTTTCCTGGTGCTTCAAGCAAGCAGGGGGTTTTCAAGGCACTTCAAGCATGCTTCAATTTTTTTTCAATTACGGATGAATTCTGGGTTTAACTTCAGTGTCAAACGGAGCATAAATGTCTAATCGTTGGTTTGAACTTTATTCGAAAGCTGCACATTTCGTGTCTGACAGGCTGCTGGTGTACTGTGGCTGCTCAGTCCTTTGGGCTGGAGCTCATGACATCTGAGTCACCAGCATCCTCTGCTCTAGGTGAGATTCAAACAAGGATACCACTCACAGCGTTTCAAACAGTGGAGCTGCGTCTCAGCCTGCTGAAAAACTTCCAAACACAGTCACGACACTCGCTGTGGAATCCTGGGAATTAATTACCAGCAAGGGCGAACGTGTAAAACTGGGATTGAAGCACAGGGAAGTAGTTCATTTATTCATCAACAGTTCATCAGACGGTGGCCTTGATGTGTCTTCCCCGTGGGCTCGGGCTGAAAACCATCACCGCCGGTTCATTTGTGTGTCAAATCGGAGGTGATCTCTGTTGTACCTGTTTGTGGTGAGCTGACAGAGGTGGAAGTGTGACCAGATGCTTGTTATAACCCACAAAAACTTCACTGGCTTCAACTGTGGTAATCCTAGAATCATTTAAGTGTTTGAATCAGGAAGAAAAAATCCTCTGCTTTTGATCACTGAACACAATTGGGAGCGTTGATCAGACAGAAGAAGCCAGCTGAGGATGTGACCTTGGGCTTTCAGAACTTGGCAGTGGAAATGTTTCCCACATTTTTGGACAAAGTCATGTTTTGATCAATTAAAATAATTAGATCATGTCCAAGCATGAGTGGGAATCATTAGTCCTCCTTCTTTTTTATGAGCCTCTTACTTTATCTCCAGACTGCACTTCATCCAGTCCAAGGCTGCGGAGGAAAGATGGAGCAGCTCAGCTCCATGCAATGTCATGTTTGCATACATATTTCATGGCACCGCTCCTCCAGCTTTCTCGTTGCTTTCCCTCCCTGTCCGTCTTCTGCATGTCTCTGTCCTTGCCGTGGATCACTTGTGAATGATTTCCTCCCGTGGTTGACACACTCAGTGTCAGCCAGTATTTACTGGCCAGCTGTACCGCTTCAGCCAACATGACTGTCTGCGCCTCGAGCGCTGCATGCAGCTTGCGTGCTGCGCTCGCAGACAAATGAAAGTTGAGCTGCAAATATATTTTTGGACCGTAGTAAAACATTCCTTCAGCAAACAGTGTCCTCCCTCTGAGAGACATTATCGCCACGATGTGACCCATCTCAAGTCAAAGGCATTTAGTATCTTCTCAGTATGAATGGATTCGTATCTTCCAGATGAGTTGTTCAGGATATTTAAGACCCAGGAGGCTGGTAAGAAGACTTGGCTGGATTGTGCTTGTGCATCAAGACAGATTGATCAACCAGTTGCTGTTCTGCAGTGGGAATATTTATGTGTGAGAGGGGAAAATAGCTGGATTGTGCTCATGTGGCCTGACCCTACATGTGTTACATTAATTTCTTTTTAAAAATCTGCTTTGGACTGAGTTGACCTCCCAGTGAAAGCTTGAGACACAAGCTGAAATCTGACTCCGGCTCTGGACTTTCTCATCACGCTTTCACGCCCCAGACAGGTCAGAGTTGAGCTCGGCGTGCCTCTCCTCCCCGAGCGTCTTCTCTCCGGTCTGGCCAGAGGGTTCCAGTTGGCTCGGATATCTCTCCGATGTGTCAAATCCGTCTGGGTCAGTTCGAGTACCACCCTGTCAGTGTTTCACAAGGACGGTTTATGAGCTGGTTCCTTTTTTTCGCAGTACATTTAGGTGTAGTTTAATGAAGGTTATTGTTTTTATGCCCCCTCGCCGGGGACAGCTGAGGCCGGAGGCGTTGTACTTTCGGGTCATCTGTTCATTCAGCCGTCTCGTTTTTATGAACGTCTCGTGAATGCCTCGAGGAAATTTCATCAAATTGGGCATTGATGTTCCCTTAGACCCAAGATGAAATGATTAGATTATGGTGCTGTGTCCTCAAAAAAAAGAACTCCTGCAGTCATTACGGGCAAAATGTCTAATGAGATAAATGATGAAGTGAATCCAGAAGGTCAAAGGTGAAATCAAATGACTGGTTGGTGGAGGCCAGGTAGTCATTAGCCTACAAAAGTTGTGTGCACTCAACATAAAGGGAAGCCGCTTTCAAAATAATGGCATAAATAATTGTATTTATTGATAGAAAGTGCAGTAAAAGGCACGTTATTCTTTGTTGTGATCATCCTTTGCCGTTAGAAGAGCTCCGGTTCTATCTTGTTGCAGTCATCCTGGAGAGCTTCCCACTCTGCTGGACTGGGGCTGCCTGTCTCTTCATGTAATCCTAGACTGACTTCACGAACTGGCTCCGTCGCAGTCGAACCATCTGTTGCTGGACTCCCTGTTCTTCTTGTTGCTGAAGATGATTCTTTGTGACTCCGGCTGTATTTTCGGGGCTGTTGCAACGCTGCACAATGGGTCTGGGACCAATCAGATGCCTCCCCGGCGGTATTGAACGATGAATCTAAAAAAGCCTAAAACCCTTTTTTTTCCCCCTCATTTTGTCTTCTCTGGCCACGGGAAGAAGAACGAGATGAAAAACACACCCGCGCTCGTGAGAGACATTTCAACAGGAACAGCGCAGGTGTGATCAATACAGTTGAGCTCAGCAGTTGCAGAGCTTTGCTTCGCCCCTGGAATGACTTACTGAGACACTTAATGTAACCGAGCCGTCGTTTCTGTGTCATTAGTTCCACCTGCTCTTTCGCTGCTATGACATGTCAACCTTTCTGCTGCGAAATGAAAAAAAAAGTAGCTCGAATTTGCATTTGGTTTGTCAGGAATCTTTTGCTTAAACAGCTACACCGGGTCCTGGAGCTTGAACATCATATCAGCATGTGTCCTCATGATAATTTTGCTGGAGGCAAATTCTGGCAGCTTCTCTGCACATAGGAACACCAGTAAATCGTCGGTGGCATTAAGTGTTTAAAGAGAGGAGGAACCGCTAATAATTCAAGATTAACATTAAGGCCATCAATTTGTTACGCAATCAAGTATTCTGCTGATTATTCCATTGATTATTCGAGCAATTAGACGAGAAGTACTTTAGCTGTCTCGACGAGCAATCATAAATACAGAAAAGGGTTCTTAAATTTATGATTATATATATATATATATCATTTTTTTGTTTAAAATACACACCTTTATATCTAAACTGAGTCTGAGGCAGATATGAAACCAGCTCTTCTGGCAAAGTTAGAGGAGATAAAGAAGCATGTTTTGACAGAAGATCCTCGACTGGACAAATCTGACACTGATGCACTGTAAAAAGTTTTTGATTCATTTTTAAATGTAATTCTATGAAAAATGTTCTGTTCTGATAATAACTAGCAAAATCTGAGGGAAACAAAGCATTCGTTTACATGTAAACCTTTAAATGTTGGCAAAAACTGACTCGATAATCCGACACAAATGTAAAACCTTCTTTAATGTCGGATAGCAAGGCTGTCGGATTGTCAAGATGGAGGTCGAGATACAAGGAGGGCTTGATGCTGGAAGGCTCATCTGTTGTTAATATTTATTGTTCATAGTTGTTATAATAAAGAGTGTATTGTTAGAACACTTCGCTGGAGTTCACGCCTAACGGACCAGTACGCTTGTGCACGTCGGAGCGCTCCGACGGGGTGGAAGTGTCCAGAACACACAGGCAGTACTTGGCTGCTGATGCTAGTTTAGTTAGCGCTCACACTTCTGTTTCCTCCATCGGTGGCGGCGGGGGAGTGGCAGATACGCTCCACCGTTACCATCCATGTTTACTTCC